AAAGAACAATAGAAAGGACCAAGTTGCTTGTCAGTGGGCCCAGCTATGTTTGTGGAGGCAGAGAGAGCATATAAGCTCTCACCTAAGCCCACCTAACCCAACATGGCTGCCCAGCAGCATTGTTGTCCAGGCCCAGGGGACCCTCACGCATTCCCCGACTCCCAAATCTGGGCACCCGCCCCACTCCTCAGGATCCTGCCTCTGAGCAGCCCCTGAGCACAAGGGCTCCCACACAGACCTCCTGACCACGTCCTGGCTGTTAGCAGACAGTAGTCAGGAGTAAGTGGTGTAATTCTTCTGGAGCAAGTATTCTGGGAAATGCCTCAGGATTCTCTGAAGGAGGATTGACCAATGTGCTCACAGCCCATTAGATTATCCAAGGGATCCAAATAGAAGGAAACAGGCCAGATCTTGGACTGAAAAACTGAATCAGTGAAAACGCACAAAGGGGTCTCCCGCAGAAGACCTTCCGACCACAAAATAATCTTCCGTTCACAATGGAGAGGGCTGGGAGGTGGCCTGAGGAAGGAGAGCCACACCGGGCCAACTGTTTTATGAAGTGAAATGAAGGGTTTTAGTAAACAGCAGCAGAGGCACCAGATGCCTCTAGTTAAACATGGAATTGTACCAGCAAGTTCTGCAGTGATTGAGAAAGCTTGCAACAGATTTATACATGAGGGAATAAATCACAAGCTACACTGTCCGGCAAGCTGTCACGGAGGCCCCACCGGCAGGGATCCACACAGGAGAGCCCTCGCAGAGATACACACATGCGGCCATGCCGGTTGGCCATGGGACCGCGCCTTGGCCCTGACAGAGCAGACCTGTCTACAGAAGATGAGGAAGAAGCAGGCACGCTCCAGCCATAAACCAGGCTGGCTTTGTGCAGAATCATAATGCTCACAGGTTTGAAACCCTGACCCATGAAGGACTGGCGAAGGAAATGCCTGTGAAAATAAAGCATATAAATATCAAAAGTATATTTTAAGTGTCTCTGAGTTAAGACTAGATTATCTTTCTGAGTCCTTTGAATCTGAGTTTCTACTTATAAAATGTAACCTGACACGCTGGCTTTGAAGATCGGGGATTTGGGACCAGGACTGTGCAATTTATCTGAGCTGACAGAGACGTTAGTGCCCAGGCGCCTGTTCTGTCCTCCTATCCATCGTCCCATCCCAGATCCTGACTTACTGACCTATGGGAAAGCCAGCCCAGCACTGTAATTTGAAATATATGGTCACTCTACTATTGTTGCTTCTCAGCAAGATAGATACAGAGATACAGTGAATCTAAAGTACCCCCCTAAAAGGCAGGACTTGCCTAACTTAGACCTCACATAGAAAGAACGCAGGTTTCCACGTCTTTAATTACTTTCACCGGTTTCTCTACACAGCAAGCACTCGGGGGTTTAAGAAAACAAGACATGCTTTAAACTAAAGAACAACAAAATGAATTAGAAGAAATAAACTCATGACTGGGGGAATGAATGGAGCCAAGGATTGGGGGGTAGGCAGGGAGGGGGAGCAAGGAGCTGAGGAGCCAAGAGCTCAAGAATCAGCGTGCATTCCAGCCCCATAAAGTCACTCAGTGAAGTCAGCTCCCCTTCAGAGGATGTTTACCCCTAGAGGAGCATCTGTGGAAGATGCTGGACGTTTCCTGGAGAGATAGCATTGCTGGCAACAGGTGCCTTGTGCATAAATATTGCAGATCTCACTGTATTGAGAAATATCAGAAGGAATGGTATTTGTCATAACTAATGAATCCTGGCACATAATCACCCATGCACTAGGGAACAAGTTCTACCCAACAAAAATGAAGTGCCAACAGCTGAAGCGAATTCTGCCCACTATCACCCCCCCGCTCATTTGAGTACCTAGTAAGATTACCCTGTGGCTTGAGGCAGCCAAGGCAGAATTCTCTACCATGACCACCCTTGTTATACAGAAGAACTTTTTTCCACTTGTACTCTAAGACTGGGCATGAAATGTTGTTCCCAACCACAAAGCACTGAGACACACCATTGTGGCATCCACTGAATTTACCAGAACAGGGACACACAATTTGTTCCTACAAATTGCAAATACCAGGTTAAACTTAAAGCTATTTTTACAGCTTAAATACTCAACACTCTTCTCTAGAGGGTTAGTGGAGAGTGGAATTTGTTTTGGCTTTCCCTGTCTACACAATTACAAATATGTACCAAAAAAAAAAAAAAAGGAGCTATGGATAACATTTAGAAAGTTCAAACATTATCAATGGCAGGCATTTCTCAATTTCACTGATAAATGAAAACAGTTTGTATTTTAGGATTGGAAGTGGGAGGATTGGCTTTCCCATGTGCCACCTTGATTCTGAATTTCATTTGAAGGCCAAATACAAAACCTAAAGCAGAGAAAGAGAAACATTTTCTTCAGAGAATTTTATTTTTCAAATTGGAATTTATTGCACCTTTTCAAACATAGACCAAAATATTTCAGCAAACGCAATGTGTTTGTTATTTTTATATACTGGTGGTGTTCTTAGGCAGAATAATGAGGCCGTAAAGTAGGTATGCCGAGGTCTAAGTGTACAGAGTGGCTTTAAATCATGGGTGTTTACTAGCACCGCTATCCTACAGAGCATGCTTAAATACTTCCTGAAACGAAACTTATTTAGAAGTTAGCCACACTGCTCTTGTACTTCACTGGCCAAGCTACTCTTTATGTAACGCTTAAAACACTTCCAACCAGAATTAAAGGGTTTTTTTCCCCCCTTATACTTGGCAAGCAACTGAAAAGGCTAGTGTGGAGGAGGTGAGAAATGCCATCTCCAAATCCTGAAAGCGAAGTAAGCTGTCCATGGTGACTTAACCCAAATCCTCTCACAATGGAGTCTTTGTTAGTGCCAAGTTTAGACTTGAAGGATGCAAAGTCAGAGATTTCAAAGTGTGGATGATAAGCACATCCTTTCCACTACTTTTTTCCTAAGACTTAACCCCTCCAAGCTGTCCTTCCCTGTGCTTTGCCAAAGCTCATCCCCATTTATGCAATGCTCTCTGAGACAGAAGTCATTGCCTGCCGCACCCAGCACTGGCCACATGTCTCTATGGGGCTGCATCAAGCCCTTACCAAACCCTGCCCAAAATGCTTGCAATTGCAGCCAGCGAGAGAAAGCAGTAGGCATTAGTAAAACCAGGTTTGTCTTATTTGCTTTTTTCCTTTAACTCAGGGAGACAGTCAGCAGAAGATTAGACAACTTCTCTCCAAAATCAGTCCTAATCCCATTAGGTCCTCCAATTAACACCAGTCTGCATTCCCTAGGTAAGGACAGAAAGCAATTACAGGCCTCTGCTGTGCCTAAGAAATTGACAAAGCTCATCAAACTGATACTTCCCAAAGCAGCCCTGTGTCACAGGGACACCCAAACAAGCTCTACTGGGGGGTCGCCGCCCAGCCAGTCCACCCCTTTGGCATTGTCTCTTTGTAAATTACTCTTACTCAAATTGGAATTTTGGGTGTTTTCCTACCTGGTATAGTGGTTTTTGGTTTTAACCTCCAAGCATGCATCCACAGTACCATGGCTAAATTTGAATCACGTTTCTAAGTCTAAACTGGGGCAATGAACACGGCATTGTGATCTGAGGCAAGATTCATGAACCACACATCATTTTCAACTTGTCCCCAAGAAGGCTAGTAAATTGAGACAAGGCCTTTAGTAAAATCCTTTCCTTCTTTTTCTTCCCTTCTTTCCTTCCTTCCTTCCTCTCTCTTTCTTCCTTTCTTTCTTCCTCCCTCCCTCCCTCCTTCCCTCTCTCTCTCTCTCTTTCTTTTTTAAAATGGTACTTATTTATTTTGAGAAAGAGAAAGAGCATGTGAGTGGGAGAGGGACAGAGAGAGAAGGAGAGAGAGAGAATCCCAAGCAGGCTCTGCACTGCCAGCATACAGCCTGATGCAGGGCTTGAACCCACAAGCTGTGAGATCATGACCTAAGCCAAAGTCAAGAGCTGGATGCTTAACTGACTGAACCACCCAGGTGCTCCTAACATCCTTTCTGACAGTAACTACAAATAATCACAGAGCAATCCAAATGTATCTGAATAAGCTTGTAACTTGGTAGACAATACGTTCATACTTCTAATTCAGCAATTTTGAGCTCTACTTTTTCATGTTATTCAGTTACACTGCCTTTGAGGCAACTGTTATGTGTTTAAAGCAGCCAAGGAAATGGCTCTGACATCACACGTTTGCTGATAAACCAAACTTCACTCTCAGTGATATGTCTAGTGTATGATATTCACATAACTCAATTTAAAGTTTCTAGATGACTGTACACTAAAAGGTTAGTGTAAGGCCTCTACTGTTATAGAGTCTTGGCCAAGGATTTGGCCAGACACCAAATCTAATCTGCTGGTGGGGGCGGAGAGGTGGAGGAGGTATGGGGGGTGGGGGACTGCATCTTTAGTGTGCAGGCAAAGCAAACAGGCTCCTGGTTCCCAAGGCCCCTGACCCTACACTGAAGGAGCGACACCCAGACACAGCTGAGCTGACCTAGGCTTTTTGCTCTCTCTGATTCAAATTCTTTGCCCATCACTATTAGAGCTGTCACAATTTAATGCAATTAGGAAAAAAGGACTCAGAATGTATTATGGGTCCTGGATAAAAGAATCTATTAAATGCCATTTTGTTTACTGTGCAGTCTCTTTACAGCAATAAAACCAGAATGCCTGAAATCTGAAATGAAGATTCTTATTCTATAGAATTGCAAAAGAATGGCCTGAGTCAGCAGGGGGTAATATTAACCTGAACTGGGATCTGGAGATAAACCATGAATTTTAAAAACTAAAATTAATTCAATCGCAAAGGGGAACAACACAGTTCAAAATGTTTAGATGATATCATGTAAGGTATTATGTGAAAGAAGATTTCCCTTTGTATTTTTAAAGAATTTTTATTTTCGTTCAACATCATGGGGTTTCTATAACTTGTGAATGTTTCCAAAAATAGAGATTTGTTTTAGTTGGGTGGATGCATTGTTTTCAATGTCACAGTCACCGTGACGTATTCAAACCACCCCATAGTTGCTTCCTCCAGAGACCAGTGATGACCTTCCTGGTGTTTCGGTCATCTCCAAATTCTCACCTTGCTTCTGTTTCCAACGTCCATCACAGATACAGGGCACCAGCCTCAGCCAAGCTCTGTGCAGGATGAGAAACTGCCGTTGTCCTGAAGTGCCAAAAAGTTTTCCACATCTGATTTACTTAAACTTCCATCCGGGGCATCGTTGCCTGTAAAAGATAAATAAGTGAACTGTAAATAATAGAATTGAAATTTGTCATAACACTGAAATAAATTCTCACTACAACTGAACAAAGTTATTTTATTTGGAAAAGACCATAAGTTACTGGTGTACCACTTGCTTCTGATAAAGATGATTAAATATCCAAAAGGATTTGGAATGTAGTACTTAGTCGTAATAACGTATTCCCAATAAAAGCGATCTTTGGCCAAGGACCAACTGAAAGTTATGTAACCCAAATTATATTCATGACAATTGAGAAGGGCCTGCTTTCCTAAAACTCAAATGTCCTAAAGCAGATTTCCTAATAGCTACCTGATGGTACTTTATTCTGGAAAACACAAGAAAGAAGGAACAGGGAGACAAAGAGAGGGGCGGCGGGGGGGATGTGGACAGAGAGAGGCAGGGAGGGAGAGGGAAGAAGGACAACGTGGAGGCTTTCTTAGTTTTGAGAAAGACAGCCCTGATTAGGGGTTGAATCCATTTCAAGGAATCAAGTCATTTTAAAGCATGTGTACTAAAAATCCCAGATCAGCCTAATCCATGTTTTCTCTCTGGGAATTCAGACATTTCAGACATGCCACAATGAGGCAACATGAGAATTTAGTGTTTCTCTAAGAGAAGCAAGGAAGAGAAAGACTGGGCTCTCTGCTGGACAACTTCACAGGGGACAGCAAGTTCCTTCTGATACAAGAGAAAGCCAAGGATCCCAGATGACTTCTTGACAGCCGAGAGATGCTGGCATTCATCTGTACAGCACTCAAAGGGAGCACAAGGCTGGGGCGGGGGGTGGGGGGGAGCAGGGAAGGTGGTGAGGGGGCATGGTAGCCCTCCCTTTCCCAGGCATCAGATCCAGAACCTAATAAATGACTTACAACATTAAAAGCATAATAAGAAACTCTCGGAGTGCATGTTAAAAAAGCCAGCAGAGAGGCTGTCCTTCCTCTCTTCAGCAGGGGTGTGAAGCCCCCCACTTCTGGGTGCATCAGGGCAATACCAGTGGGACATGGAAGCCACAAAGCAAAACAAACTGGCATTCATGGCAACCAGGAAGATGGAGTGAGGCACGTCACTGGGAGCTCTTAAAGACTGTCTGGGGAAAGAGGACGACTTGGGGCCCAGAGAGTCTATTTCAATTCTGACTCGGAGCAGAGTCTCAGCTCGGGTGGCCCATTTCCCACCTCAGGAGCTAAGTGCTCTCGAAGTAACTTGCAAAACTACTCTTGGATTTCACACAGAACTTCGATATTGTCCACCAAGATCTGTGAGCCCCTTGAGGGCCCAGTCGAGGCCAGCACCCATGACAACGGGTAAGCCGCAGGAGGCAGTCAGTAAAGGCTGGGGAGAGGCCGAAAGGAAGGCTCTGTCTTCCGCAGCCAAACATGGGTTGGAACCCTTGTTCAGCTGAGTCCTTTGACCTAAGAGCTAGTTTCCTCATCTGTAAAGTGAAGAGGACGCCCCCACAGCAGGGAAGTTGTGAGGGGTGAAGACAGTGTGATGTGCAGGGAGCTGCTGGCACAAGGATGGCTCTGAACAGATGCCTGGTTCCAGTCGCTCCTGGCTCCCTCCTAGCCTCTGTGGGCAGCCCCAACCCTGGATCAGCTCTTCTGTGGTTTACCTGTAAACGAACAGAGATTAACTTTCTGTCAGAAAAACCAAATAAGTGTACACTCAAGCATGAATTTATCTACTGCATTTGTTTCAGATGGAGTTCCAAGAAGGTGAAATACTTTTAAATATATAAACCTCAATTCAGGATTGTAGCAATAATTTAAGATACAAAACATGGAGAGCAGACATTTTTCAAATTCTGCACTTATAACTTCTCCAAAGTTTCTATAATATGTGGAACGTATGTCAAAACCTGGCACCCAAACATTGCCAAGACAACCTGTTGATGAGAAGAAGCTGAGTCTGCCTCTCCTATGGGAAAGGGACACCACCCCAGCTCCTGTGAGGGGGGGGGACACAATCCCCACTCCTGGAGGGGACACCACCCCACTCCTGTGGGGGGACACCACCTCCCAAAGCCGCTGGTGCTTCCAAGAGGAGAGGGCCAGATCATGGTTGAGACTTGGGAGTTTGACCTAATGTGGGGCCCAGTTGGGAGAAGGAGAAGGACAGTGATACAGCAGTCCCGGATGGAGAACACAGCAAGGGTAGCACTTGGAGGTGAGAGATGGCTTTGACTCCTAGGGCATACACTGTCAATGTTGTCCAGGGAAGAGTGGACAAGTCTTTCAGGAAGTCCCTATAATGAACAATCAAACCACAAGCCTGTGCAAGACACTCCTGGAAACATTAAATGATGCTAATGAAGGCAGAGGAATCGCGAAGGACGTTAGTATTCACAGCAGGTGTGGCTGTGGTTCCTGGTGTCCAGGCTGAGTGTAGAGTGCACAGTGTATGTGGCCAGCCTCCTTTCACTCTTCAGCCTGAGAAGATCATTAATTAACACCCGAGGATGTGTGCCCATCCGGACTTGCACACTTGTTGAGGCATGAGGATCACATGCCAGGAGCCTGTTGAGGCTTACTCCACCCTGCACAATTCCACAACCTCCAGAAACACCAAGTTGCTCATTCTTTTGGAGGACCCTGCACTGGATCATTCAATGGAACAGTGACTGTACACCAGCCCCGAGGACTCTGAAGATGTCACATCTGGACATGGCCACAGACTCTTACTCAGAGAAGGATTGTGATCCAAGTGTGTCGTCCACTTCTCAGCCAAGAGTCACCAGGGCCCAGGTTAAACCAAGAGAACGTATCCCATACCCAGCCTAAAGAAAACCAGATCTGAGACCATTATCCAAATAACCTAATTCTCTGATTTCTCACTCTTGCTTCTTTTAATATTAATGATCCTAGCGAGGGCTGCAGGGCTTTAAGTACATCGCTCCCTCCTGTGGGCACACACTCCCCGTTATTGGCACAATGTGAAGGGGCATTTAGATTTCTGGCTGCCTGGCCCACTGTAGTGGTTGAGCCCAGTGTCCCAGAAAATTGATTCATTACAAGGAAATGGAACCATAGGACATTGGTGCTCCTGTAGAGAAATGTGCACAAAACCAGCAGTTGGTTTGGTTGTACTCTTTATGCAGCTTGTGGTAAATTATACAAAGTATTGGGATCATACCAAGGAGGGATTAAAAATGCCAAAAGCAATATTAAAAACACAAGACTTGCAGGTAAATAAAGTCACCAGAACCCAGGAAGAGGAAAGAAAGTGGCTAGAATAGAGAAGAAATGCAGATTGAGGAGTGACAGTCATGGTCTGCTTCTATGAATCTGGGATGGAAGCTGTGTATGCCCAAAGACCAGCTGCTTCTGAGACTAGAAAGAGCCTTCTCTCTTTTAAAAGTAAGGAAGTCTGTTTTCCAAGGACATAATAGCATTGACTGATGAATTGATAAAGAAGATGTGGCATATATATATATGTAATATAATTATATATTATTATATGTAATGTAATTATATATATATATAAAATGGAATATTACTCAACCATAAGAAAGAATATATCTTGCCATTTACAACAACATGCATGGAGCTAGAGTGTATTATGCTAAGTGAAATAAGTCAGTCAGAGAAGGACAAATACCATATGATCTCACTCATATGTGGAATTTAAGAAACAAAACAAATGAGCAAAGGGGGAAGAAGAGAGAAAGAAATAGAGACAAACCAAGTAACAGACTCTTAACTACTGAGAACAAACTGAGTTATGGGGCAGGGGTGGGGGCGTGAGTGAAACAGGTGATGGGGATTAAGGAGTACACTTGTCGTGATGAGTACCGGTGCCATATACAATTGTTGAATCACTATATTGTACAGCTGACACTAATATAACACTGTATGTTAACTAACTGGAATTAAACTAAAAAGGTTTTTAAATCATTGAGGACGTAATAAAGACAAAATAAAACACACAAATATATTCTAGTAAAACAGTATCTTGGAAGATTACACAGAAAAAAAAATACTTGTTCATATTTTTGGTGAAGACAAACACTAAACCAAAGAAATGAATTCATCAAAACTAAGAAAACTTTGCTTAGATTTTAACACCTTGCATAGACTTTTGGATCCATTCTTTATGCCGATTTTCTTCCATAAGCCAAAAGAACTTCTTTACTCTTTAGATCAACCCCTTGCAAATTTCCCCTTATTGATTAATCATGTCATTTTTGTGTATGTTCTCTGTTTACTTAGCCAAGATAAGGCAATTCTTACTTCAATGCCCTTTCTGTTCCAGTGGCTTTATTATCAAGAGACTCCTTCTTTTAGGCTGAATGACAGAGGTAGAAGCATCTCATGTCTTATCTGCAAAGCCATTCATTTTGTCAGGATTCCACTTTGCTTCCATTCTGAGGTACTTTCAAAATGCTCAGTAGGGTGTGGGAGTTCTATGAATGGAGTTATTTCCCAATTCTACTTTGTGCTTAGGTATCAGTCTCTGATTTTTGTGTTAACATCATTTATAAAAGTGAAAAGAGAAAAATGGAATCCCATCTACCTCAAGAACTGTCCCTGGATGCTGTCTTCCAGGATTAAGGAGTTCATCCCAGAGTTCTCTGGCCTCTGTCCTTGCTTTACTTACAGGACTAGATTGCAGCCCACTGTTTTCAGAGGGAAGACCTTGGGGTTAGTCTCCAAAAGACATCTTCCAACTTTGGAAGCTTTTCTAAGCCCCTCTGGTTTCCTATGAAAGTTGAGGTCTTTTTAAAGTCCTGTTAAAGTTTCCCATTCTACCTAGGCTTCTCCTAATAATGAATCAACTGGTATCTATTAGGGAGTTCTGGATTATACATTCCTAAAATTATGCTAAATCCCTCTGCAAATGTCTCCTTCTTCTGTCGGGTCTTTGGAAATTCTAACAATGGCTCTCAGCTCAGAAAAAGACAAAAAACAAAAAACAGTGTTAGGTCATCTGGGTGGCTCAGTCAGTTAAGTGTCCGACTTCAGCTCAGGTCATGATCTAATGGTTCGTGGGTCTGAGCCCTGCATCAGGTTCTGTGCTGGCAGTTCAGAGCCTGGAGCCTGTCTCAGATTCTGTGTCTCCCTCTCTTTCTGCCCCTCACCCGCACATGCTCTGTCTCTCTCTGTCTCAAAAATAAATTTTAAAAACTATAAAAAATTAAAAAAGAAAAAGAAAAAAAAAAAAACAGTGCTTCATATCAACAGAAAAGGGCACTCCAGTTCTGAGAGAGGTTTAGCTTTAAGAGGCAACTAAGTCTTAGGGGCAGAATGAGTATAGGGTGGGCGAGAGGAACATAGGCTCCTCAGTTCAAGTTGAGATTTCGAGAGATCTAGAAGCAACAGTGGTAAATTTCTCTTTTGCCTTGTCCAAAAGGTCTCTTAAGCAAGAGATTTTTGAAACTAAAAAACCTTTTGATGCTTCCTTGTACTAATTAAAAATTGAAGACGATTGGAAGTTTGAAATTTTGCCCTAGTATTCTTCTAAGATGCCTCTCAAACAATCGGTCACATCAAAAGCCCCACAAATATCCTTGGCTAACATATGTCATTTGGTAAAATAAGCATACAAGTTTGGATTATAATGTAAACGCATTAGTCATGTAGCAGGAGGTCAGCCTGGAGGAAGAGGTAAGGATGCAACTTCAGACAGAGTCAAATTCATGAGAGCCCAGGAATTTTTCATCCAAAACTGTTTATGTACTTCAGGTCTCAGCCTCTCAAAGAAGCAGATGGGCCATTCGGCTACAAACACCAGACAAAGATTGTGGCTCCAGAAGTATGGAGTGGTCTGCAGAGAGGTATCTCCTGGAACCAGACTCTCCTGGACAAAAGACAAGACTGCAGGAAGTTCCCAAATGGTTTTGATGAGCAACCAAAGGATGCCAGTCTTACAACAGACCCTCAGAAGTTGCTTTTTCCCAAGGCTGGCTTGAGGAATGGGCTCATTTCAAGGTCCCTCTTAATGAAGGACAATAAAGTGACAGGGACAGGCAGAGACAAACAGTAGTTTTAGTACTCTGGTAGATTCCCACCAAGGATAAGCATTTCACCAATCTGATCAGACAGCCAAAAGATAGCTAACGAGCATTCCTTACTCTAGGAAACAAAATAAACAGCATCTGGGAGCTCACTGAAGGAGGTGATTGTTCTAACCACTATGAAACCCCAGTACCTCAGCATTATGATCAGGAAGCCCCCATGCCTAGCAGGGCGCTCCACAGGCCTCCAAGGAAAGGGCTGTTTCCCAGTGGAATGCTGCCACTAAACATTCCAGCATTGACTGGATCTCAGTGGGACCTCCCAAACCAAAACGTCTGGACCCCCAAACATCACTGACTTCACCTGCTGATATGTGCAGCTGAATGTGTTGCTTACCAAAGTAAAGTAATTTCAATTTATTATAACAGTGCCTCGGAGGAGGGAAAGGAAGGTCGGAATTGACTGAGGTTTGGGATTTTGATCTGAAGAAGGACTCATTTAGTATCAGGTAAGAATCACAACAGTGGTCCTGGACTGGAGAACACAGCAAGGGGAGGACTCTGAGATGAGGGATTCCTTTGACTCTTAGAACACAAACTGCCAATGTTTCCTGGGGAAGAGTGAATAGATCTTTCAAGAAGTCCCCGTAATGAACAAT